TAGAGCAATGGTGGATCCAATAAATGGTAAGCTTTTAAAAAAGTAGGATCCTTAAAAATTGTTATATTAATTTAGTTAAATATTAAAATTAATGTACTTTGTATATTTTTCAATTAGTTAGACAAAATATTCATCAGAGATAAAAGGGCATATTGTGCGGCCCGACAAATTGGATATCTTTAAAAATACATAGGATGCTTAAATAATATAAATTTTTTTAAATTATAAATTAATATCATACTAAGTAAATTCTAACAATTTATTTTTTATAATGCTTAAAGATTTTTATACTTTTTTTGTACTATGATCAAGGTTATAATTATATTTTGATTTTATAAATTTATAAAATGCTTTTATAAATAAATACCATTTAGAAATAAATTAAGACTGTTGGTATTTTATTGAGTAAATGTATAAAATATTAATGATGATATAAAAAATTTGTAATATTTTGTAAAAAAGATATATTTAATGTATAACTTTGATATCCAATACTTATGAATATTGTAGTAATATAATGTTATAATGAAAATATTATGTACATTTATAATTATTTTCACTAATGGCAGCTTCTTGAGTAATAATGCTTAATGATTTTTATACATTTTTTGTACTATTGAAAAAAATTCCAAGCATCCAAGATCTTAATAATTTTAAAAAATTTTCTCAAGCCCACCTCAATCCCTAATAATTTTGTAAACCAAGCCAATATTAATTTTGAGAAATTTTTTAAGCCTAGTCCAACCAATAATTTTGAAAAAATTTTCCCAAGCCTGGAGATATTAAATTTATAATTAAGCCCAGTCCAACCCTTAATGATTTTGAAAAAATTTTCCCAAGCTTGGAGATATTAGATTTATAATTAATGAATGGGAAATCTCTGATTTACCATTTAATCTATGGGTTATTACTGTTTTGAGACAATATTACAAACGTACATGAAAATATAATATTATAAAAAAAAGACTGTTAAAATATAAAATAGAAAATTCACAAAGAATCAAGACAAAATCAGGTCTGCCCTAATATTATTATAAGAAATAACAAATATTACCTCGTATTATTGGAGATAACTCCAAAAATTAAGTTATGGAAAAAAAATCTCAGATGTACAAGTTAAATTGAATTTCTATATAAAATATTAATAATTTGTAATATTTAGTAAATAGATACATTTAATGTATTACTTTGACATCCAATGTAAAATTTTGTAATGATAAATTATAAGAATATTTAAGGTTTTAATATGGCATCCTACAGTTGCACAGAAACATAAGCGTAGCCAAGGGCGGCAAAGGGAAATCCCCCCCCCCTATTCAGAAATTTATCACTTTTTGTAAATATCATTTTTAGCTAATAAAAAAATATCCCCCTTAGTCCTCCCCCCACTCCCTGACCCTCAAATATGTATGCATATATATTAAATAGTAATTTAAAAGAAAGAATGTAAAAGTTGATATTTTTTTATAAAACTATTCATCATAATTTATAGATTTTTAGGAAAATAAATTTATAAATATGTAAAATGAACCAAAAATGTTTTTTAGTAAATGGAATATAAGCCAAAAATAAGTCTTAAGACAGAAGTGAAATGTATTATAATTATTAATAATAGATCCATAAAATTACTAAATAATATAATATATCAAATATAATTTTTTATAAAGTGAGTAATTTTAATTTATTTATCTTAATAAAAGTAAAATATAATTATAAAACTATTGATAAAACTAAGTCATAAATTAAAAAAATATTAAAGCACAATACAAATAGTGGAATATTATATGTCGTAGATTTACAGTTTATCTAATTATCAAATGACAATCAGGTAATTTTTACCAATATAGCGAATTATATATTTTACAGAAAACTATAAAATATTAGTAAGGAATCAGAAAATAAGAAAATATCTTTTAAAGACATTGTGGGATGAATAATATGAAGATTAAATATTAATATCATTTTTACTTATAATAAATAGATGGCGTTAAATAATTAAATGCAAGTTGTTGCTATATTTAATATCAAGAGCATTGATTAGTAAAATTTGTTAAATTATTAACTGTAATATATTCTCTAACTGTCAAAGTCTGTAAAAGTGGAATTTTACCTAGTATTTTATAACTAATTCTATATAATAGAGTAAAATCAACTATATGTCTACTTACTTTTTATAAATAAATTTCTTATAATTGTTTGGAATAAATTATTGCCATGCTTTTATATCAAGGTATATACAATACAAGTAATTTATTATATTTCATAGGTTGTAAAATTTTGTGATGATAAATTATAAGAATTTATAAGGTTTTAATATGGCATCCTACAGTTGCATAGAAAACTTAAGTTATAGGATCATCTTTTTGTATAGAAAAAAAAATATATAATCAACAAATAAAAAAAATATAAATAAATACGTACCGATGACATGACGTATCGATGACATGACGTATCGATGACATAATGTAGAGATGACATGACGTAACGATGACATGACGTAGCGATGACGTAATGAGGACATCGGAAAATTAAATATAGATTATATTTTATATATTATATTATTTAGTAATTTATGGATCTAATCTATTATTATAATTATAATACATTTCACTTTTGTCTTAAGACTTATCTTTGGCTTATATTACATTTCCTTAAAAACATTTTTGGTTTACTTTTTTTTTATATATAAATGCTTTTTTCCATGCATAAATTATGATGAATAGTTTTAGTTTAAAAAAATATCAACTTTTACATTCTTTCTTTTAAATTATTTTTTAAAATATATGCATACATTTTTGAGAGTCAGGGAGTAGGGATTTTTTATTAGCTTAATAAAATGATATTCACAAAAAGTGATAAATTTCTGAAGGGAGGAAATTTCCCCTTGCCCTCCCCCTGGCTACGCCTATTACGTGAATTCAATAAAAGAAACAGGGGAAGAGCAAACCACCTAATAGAAAATCACGAGAAAATCAGGTCTGTCCTAATATTTTTACTAAAAATTATAAATCTTACCTCGTTTAATTGGAGATAACCCTCAAAATTAAATTATGGAGAATGGATTCAAATTGGCATTCTAACAAAATTGATTATTTATAATACTAAATGATTAATGTTTGCATCATTATTTGTTATCAATGAAATAAAAATAAATTTAATTATATACTTAATGATCAATTAAAATTATATCTAGAAAATAGATTGTTATTTATTATATAGGGTTATTGTTGATATTCAGATAGTGTATGTCTTGCCTTTCCTAAATAATTGTTAAAGAATTTGATAAGGGCTATATCTTTATATTAAGTAAAAAAAAGCCATCTATTTAAATTACAAATATGCCATTCAAAATTAATGAAACTTAAATGCAATTTATTTATATATTTTTTAAGAAATTTGTTTTCTTGTCAATCCACATAAACAAGTTGAGTATCTTGGAGAGATTTCATTGATGTGTAATTGATAATATGAGATGAAAATTGATAAGCTAATCTAAAAAATAAAGAAAGGATTAAGTGAAATAAAAAGTTTCATTCATATTAACAAAGTTGAGGGAATATTGTTTTTATCAATTCAAAGACGATTTTTAAAATCTCTCAATCTATGTTAGATATGTGTACACCATCAATTCTCGAAATTTCATTCATCTGTTTGTATAAAATAAATAAATAAAATCAACAAATAAAAATAAATATGTACCGATGACATGACGTACATGACGTCACGATGACGTACATGACGTCACGATGACGTAGGGAGGACATCAGAAAATTATAATATAGGTTTAGGCTAATTTTTTAAAAAAATGATGAGGATTAATTATTATTTTGTGACTTGTTAAAATTTAGAGCAAATACTTTTGGACATTTTAAATTTTGATGAAAAAAGTTATAAAATGAATCTGGGCAGTCGTCTGAAGTCATATGAGGAAATAATTCTTCCATAATTGCATCCCATTTAGGATTGCAAGTGTAAGTAATAAATAATGTGACGTCTTACCAAAGCAACGTAAAATAGCCATTGCTCCGATGAAGCTGATGCACATGCCTTGGGACACTAGTAAAAGAAGAACGCAAAATGATTCTTCTGGCAAAAGTGTCATAGGTGTCTTAATCTAAAATAGCATCATGAACGACATTGTTAGCTCAACCTTAAAACGGTCGTATTTATGGTCGTATATATTACCATTAAGATTTATTTTATATTAGCAATCGCAAAATATTGTATTAAATGGATAATTATTTTGTATTATTTTACTTTTATTATTTGTATGCATAATAAATAACAAAGGATGAAATTCAGAATAATTGTTCAGAGTTTGGAAATTTCAATTTAAAAAGGCAAATAGGAGGTATGGGAGTGAAGCCCCCAATAAATTTTTTTTAGTTGAACCCCCTGAGATTGTAAGAACTAGTGACGCCCCTGCCTGTGAATATCCTATCTTATAAAAAAAACTTGGATTGATTCCCCAAACAATATTCGTCGTCATTCACAATATACTTACTATTTTGAATAATATTTGTAAATATTTCTATAATTTTTTTTTATCATTGTTACTGCTCAATGAATATGCTATTAATAATACACTCATTTATATCTGGCGATACATTAATATTTTTTTAAATGTACCTACTTTACCGAATAGCTAAATATTATTTAAATTTTTTATAAAACTATGATATCTCATATTTTGTCATTCATGGCTATCTCTGATTCTGTGCCATTTGTTATTTCCATGCAGTAATCTCCTTGGCTGAAGGTCGGGCTTTGGCGACGCTCTAGTATAAATAAAAGTATCAGTGCTATTTTTTATCGTCATTTTAATCATAAGTGATTTAGTTTATGATTGCATAAAGTAAAATAGAGCTAATATAAAGTAAAAGTTAAAAAATAAATCGTTGGGATATTAGGGGAATATAAAAATAGAAAATGATACATTTGAACCCTGTCAAAATGACAAAAGTTACAGGCAACATATTGTCAATTTTTTTATTATTTGAAGAGCTTAATTAATAATATTCCAAAAATGGCTCTCATGTTATCTTCATCAGGTTTTAAAATAAACATAATTAGATTTGATAGATTTGTTTAGCTGGTATTATATCCTTATTGGATGAGAAAGATACCCAACTCAAGCTCTTTGCCTTATCAAAATTAAATGTTATAGTTGATGAATTTTGGGCGGAAATATCTGAATATATATCTAAAATGTTTAAAATATTTTTAGAAATATAGTTTAATTTTATTTAGCGAAATTTTACAGGAAGATGTTAATTTTAAACATAGAGACTTAGCAGCATTAGTAGTGTCAAAAGTTTTTTTTAAATATTATAAATATTTATTAATACAATACTAGGTATATTATAATCTAGGAGAGTACAGTGAAGCCTTAAATTATGCATTAGAAGCAGGAAAATTGTTTAATGTTAATGATACATCTGAATATGTTACAACAATGATATGTATAAAATTTTATTTAGTAATTATTTTAATATTAATATTTTAGCTGAATGTTTAGATTTCTATATTAAGCACAGGCTTAATAACTTTGACAATATTGCCACATTAGAGACTATAGATATACGTATTGTTAAATTGGTTGATGATATGTTTCAGAGATGTTTAGATAGTGGGAAATTTAAACAAGTAATTTTATATATTAATTTATATTACCAATATTTTAAGGCGATTGGTATAGCTCTAGAAGCAAGAAGACTTGATATTATACAAAAAGCATTAATTGAATCAGTAATTAAAATAGCACTGTACTTTTTAATAATATATAGGATAATGTTGAAGAATTATTGAATCACACATTTTTGATGGCCCTATCTTACATTCAAAATCTAACATTTCTTAAAATGGTTTTAAGAGAGTTAGTAAATATTTACATGAGTCAAAATGTACCACACTATATAAATATATGCCAGGTTATGGAATATTATAATTAATTATAATAATTTTTAATTATAGTGTCTTATCTATTTAAATGATACTCAATCATTATCAAATATCCTCATTAAACTACTGAAATCTAAAAATAAAGTGCATAGTTATATTGTAAAGTTAAAAAATTTTTTTATTAGAAAGATATTTTGATAGCATATCAAATGGCATTTGATGCTTACCAATGCGGGACTCAAGACTTTTTACGAAAAGTTAGAAAAGCATTAGGATTAATTTCTGAAAATGATAAAGATATAAAAACAATTAAAGAAAAAGATGAAGATTCACATGAAAATTTAGAATCAATTATAACTGAAGATGAAAATGCTCATAATATCTTGCATAATCATGACCCTACATTAGAGATAGCTCACAAAGAAAATATAAGAAAAGATGAAAAGTATATTATTTTTATACATAAAATTTAATTTATTTATCTACATTATCATGATTTTTTATGCAAAAAAATACACCCTTAAGTCACAGGATATTTAAAATACTTTTTTTTAAAAAAAATCATAAATTTTATACACATTTACTCTAAAAATGTATATTTAAGATACCCAGTGTTTGATTTATGTCATAAATAAAAAAAAAATTCAGAGGGGGGAGCTACTTTTAAAAGAACTTAGAAATAATAGCCAAAAAAACGATGATATGCATGCAATTTATACTTATTGTTATTAAATTATAAAAAGAACACATTTATAACCCAAATAATAAATGTATATAAAAGTTGCATATATTTTTCAAGTGATGTCATCTTCAACAAGAAAGTCTAAATTAATCATGGATTTTTGATCAATGTATAAAAATAAACTAGACCATCACCTAGTTGAAGGAATGAACTATGGGACCAATTTGCCTACCACTATTTTATTACCTAACTAAAGTCAATTTATTTTATCTGTCTAGCCTTCGCAATCCTGATTTATTAAGACTAAGCCTGCATCATTTTTTTTAGATAAGGCTAATCTTAGCCAATCTTGATTGGCTTAACCTGGGCCGATTTTGATAATCTAAGCTTAAGTCGATTTTGATAGACTGAAACTCAGCCTAAGCCAATTTTGTATGGCTAAGCCTAAGCCCATTTTCATTGACTATTAGGCTAAGTTATTGAAAATGATTGATAATTAATAATTGGAGTGTTTTTAAATATTTTATCATTTTTAATAAGAATACAAGTTATTAATAAATATTAGAAAATGTTTTCTAGGGCTGTGCCGATCTACATATTTTTCACCGATCCAATCCGATTCTTTTGATATTGGTTCAAAACCGATCTGATATCTTCCGATATTGGTTCTAAACTGATCCGATGTTTATATTGATTTTTCACCACTCCCCTTTGAACCAAATGTAATTAAGAAATCAATATTTTTTATGCAAAAAATCGCATTCTTCCTCCCCAATTAGAATTCCACAGATAACGCATTTTGCAAAATTATCTTTGTCTTTTGTAAAATATTTCGATAATTCAGATACCATATTTAAAAAAATTCTTTTATTTAAAGTATAAATAATTAAATTGGCTTTATTATTTAAAAAGATTAATAAATAAAACTTTGGGTGTTCCTTTCTATTTTTATTAAAAAACTTCTAAAATACTAAAAATCTATTTAAAAAAATAAATAAAATTTAAGGGGTTTTGTGCAGCTGCATTATTTAAAAAAAATTATTAATGTAAAATAAATATATATAAAAAGATCGGATCGGTTTTTACAAATATCGGCCCGATCCGATATTTCTGGAAAACGCTAAATATCGGTTCCGATTTGATCCCATATTTAATATCAGCACAGCCCTTATATTTTCCTTTTGAAGGATGAGAATGAGTATGATTTTCATTCTAAAACTGTCCCAACATTTATTGGGTAAAAATAAATATTTTAAATCAATTTTAGTGAAAACATTAATTAAGTAATACAAAAGGGTGGTAATTGTCATAATTAGGATTTAAAAACTTTTCCAATGTTTATTAATGGAAATTAGTAAAAATGAATATTTTAAATCTGTTTTAGTATAAATTCAATTATATTATCATTTTAAAACGTCTATTGTTTATTAATAAAAATAGGTAAAAATTATATTCCAAATGTATTTTTTGACAATGTCATTAATAAAGTTTTATAGTACTGATTAATGCTGGATTTTATATATAAAAGATAGTATTTCATTTGCCTATAAATACTTGACTCAATTGAAAATATTTATAAAAATCTTATATTATTATATATAACTTAATTATTTCTTATTATTTTAAAATGCAATGAAAATTTAAAAAATATGTTAATATATTTTTGTGCATACATTTATTTGTAAGCTTTACCCTCTTTTTGATATTTATTTTTATAGCCTAATAAATGTTAGAATACATATTATAAATAATTATAATTTTCAGATATTTTTGATAAAAAGTATGAATTATCAAATTTTTAACTTATTCTATAAATTAATCGTATAAATACAAAATTGAAAATGGTAAAGATTTGCATAAGTATTTAATTTAATATTTTTTATTATAATATCTTCTCCGTTTAATAAGGCAAGCTCCTCTGATTTTCCTTCTCCATTAGACCTGAGTATCATTATTTGTACATTGCTATCACTTTTATCCATGTCATCTTGGGTCTTTCTCCAGATCTTGATCCTCTTACTTTCATTGAGATTCCAGTCATTCTTTGTCTTTCATTCTATATTCCCAAACCATTTCTTCTCTTTACCACTCCAATCACTTTTAATCCCATGCTTGCTTGAAATTCTTTGCTAGTTTTTCTTTTTCTCAGAGATGTCTCACATACTAATTATCCTCATCACCATTCTTTCTAAATTAGCTTCATGAGGCACTTTCGTTGCCCATGTTTCACCGCCATAAACTATAAACTTCTCACAGCTTATGTAAACTTTTCCCTTTAACTTCAGGGATTCGTTTTTAAGAATAGACGACACCTCTGAACTTCTTCCACGCTAGTCTCCTTACAACAATAGCAGAATCTACACCTCCATCTGCTCTAAACATGTTACCCATATAACAAAACTTCCATTTTTCCCATGGTTGACTTATTGCCGATATCAAGAACACCATCTTTGTTAACGTTTTTTAATTTACATTTTTCTGTTTTTTAAATACGTTTTTTCTATATTATATATACTTACTCCATATATATCAGAGTTGTCATAAATGTGGTCTGTACCTAGTTACACTTTTATAAAAAGTACCTGTAGTTAGATACTATTTTAGTGGTATCTATTTGTTTTAGATACTTTTGAAGATGCATTTTGATATACTTTTATTTAATTATTCTAAATTTATTTAATATAATTTAAATAAATATATATTAGAATATATTACGACTAATATAATTTGAAAAATGTATTTAAATATTAAAACTTAAATATTATTTTTTTTACTTTTAATAGATTAGTTCATATTTTTCTCATGTAACTGAATATATAAATCCTTGTTTAGCTATGACGCCCACTAATTATTATAAACAATATGCCATTGATGCACAAAATTATTTTAAGCAAATAAATTTATTTTAACTTTTATTTAATAAATTATAAGCTTAATGTTAAATTTAAAAAAAAATAAATACTTGTTTTAAATAAGAATTCGTTCGAAAGAACGATAAAAATAGGGGTATTATTGACATTTTTAATAATTTTTTATATTGTCTTCGAATTGAATGAGAACAAAATATAATTATTTTGTTTACATATTTATACTTTCATAATAAGATTTCTGTTCGAAAACAATGGCAAACCCTGTATATAAGTATAATAAAAATCGTGTATCTAGATCCATTAAAAAGTATCTTTTAACAACTTTTAATCTTGTTTTTATTACCATTACATATAGCCGCCATATCAATAATTTTTAAATAAAATTTGAAAAATATTATTATCTTTTAATATTATCTTTTAATATTTTCTTTTAATATTTTCTTATATATTTGATTTTTTTAAAAATTTGTATTCCCATTTTTTACATAAATGCAGCTACCAAAATTCTGACGAGACAATGGCAATCGATGTAAAAGTCGAAGAAGAAAAAAATTATTTAACTACCAAGGTACATCTTAATGTTTTGGTTTATTATGTTAATAAATTAAATTTATAAAACGGAAGTTTTTTAAAGGCATTCTCTGCTTAAAATCAAGAATTTGGAATTTGCTGATTCCTGTTTGATTCCAGTTTCGACAAAAGTAAAAATATTTGGGATGAGATTAAAATTGGTATCGAAATATGAAACCCTAGGAATCATGTTAAATCTAAAAATCAAAGCAAGAGCCCAACCCTCACTATCAAAACACCTTAATAGTTTAAAGTAAAAATTGTTAGGATATAGAATCGCTTTAACTCTGGGGGGGGGGGTTCTAATATAAAATCAATTTGAATCAAAAATTAAAATAGCTTGATTTAACTTGCTTGATCCTACTAAAACACAAATATGGCTAAAGATTAGTTTACATTTATATTAAAAATGTGCTTAGTAAAATTTGAGAATTGTTTATTGAGTTACTATATGTTATTACTTGCTGCATGAGGCATAGTTGGTTAAGAATACATAAAATATAACATATAATAGAGCCAGCGGTAACATAAATAAAATATCTATCCAGCAATAACCCCGAAAATATTAATATTTTGTATATCAAAGTTATAAAATGAATTAAATTTTTTTAAAAAAAAATAAGGAAGTGGGTAATACTTTATTCATATCATAATTTTAAATAAAATACATTTTTAATTATTAAAGTAGCTGAATTAAATTTGATGCATCACATTAAAATAGAAAATAAAATTAATATTTTGAGTTAATATACTTCCTAATTGCACTTATAAAATGTCTGGCCATAAACTGGGTTTAGTAAAAACTTTGACACAAGATCTCTGATGGGCGCGGGTTAAAAAATCGATATTGCAGGCCACTAATATATACTACCTTTTTTTAAAAACGGCCAACTCAACATTTTAGACAGAAAAATATTGCCTAAGCCTATAGATTCCGCTAATAGATGTCTAGTATGCCATCTATGTGCAAAGTTTTTAGGCTTGCGTAATATTATTCTGGATAAAATATTGAGTTAGCCGTTTTTTAAAAAAGGTAGTATATATTAGTGGCCTGCAATATCGATTTTTTAACCAGCGCCCATCAGAGGTCTTGTGTCAAAGTTTTTAAATCTAAGCCCAGTTTACAGAGTTCTAGAGATGAAATGACGACTATTTTGATTTGAATATTACTTTTTTAACTGATCGTATTTGATAAGAATTTTTAAAAATTAGGCGTTCCAATGTAATTTAGGGTAGTAGTAATATTTAATTAGTTTTTTTTTACCTAACGAAGGATCCTACCTTTTCTTTCTCAATTTCTCCTGATATATACCGATCCAATTTCTTAAGCATTCGCTCTCTTAGGTGACATTCTTTAAAAAAAATTTTTTTTTTAAATTATGAGATTTTAAGTTATAAAATATCAGTTCAATCATAACAGTTTTTATAATTTTTATCATATTTTGTTTAATTTTTTTACATTTAAAAAGGAACCTAACTCATTGGTCAACAAAATAAGTCAAGAACATTTTTCGAAATTGGATTGTATATTAAATGGTGATCTACCTATACAATTGGAACTACAGTTTCTGATTCAAAACAATAAAACAGACATTCAAATATTAAAAAATAGTAAGGATTGCGTCAGGAACAGTATATGTCACAATGCCGTGATTATAGCTCATGCTTTTACCAACTGTGGCACCACTAATGACAAATTTTTAAGGTTTATATTTTTCGCCTTACATTCAAGTGTTTTACACAAAAATGGGTCAATATTATTATAGACCTGGTTTAAAAACGGCATAAGTACGATAAAATCACATTTAGGAAATTTTAAACATAAAATAAAAATTTTTTAATCCTTAAAGGAAAGGTATCAAACTATCTATTTCTATTAGGGAAAGTGCCCAAAATATTACAGACACATTTTCTATTTTTTTATCAAATAAAATTGTGGCTATATTTGTTGATAAATATAAATATCTCTTCTTTATTATTATATTTCGCTAACATCAATTTTACAGAAGAGCGAAAAAAAACTCCATTGCCTTACACTTTAAAAAAAAATTATTAGATATATTGATGCTATGAAAAACCCATTTTTAAAGATCTGTTATATTAGGAAAAATGCAAATGTGAATTTAGGAAGGTGGAGATGGAACTTTGTAGTCGAATGTTGAGAGTGAAAGAGCAGTTTTAGGTTTTAACCTCGTGGTTCAAACAAACATTAATCCGAAAAAATACATTAATCTATCAATTTATAAAATGAAGTGCGTGTAGATGGATATTGAAGAACTTATACAGTGTCAAATCACCAAAAAATAGTCTCCTCTAATATATTTAATGTATAGTGCCAACATGTACTTTAAGCAAAAAATTATATTTTGTAAAAAAAATTTTAACCAATGTTATTATACGTTTGACGCACTCTGGATTTAAAAAAAATTCTAACTAATTGATTAATTAGTCATATTAGTTAAGGGATATATTGGGTAGTTTGATGGAAATCGCAATAACATGATAGTTTGGGGTTAATTTAGAGGAAATTTTTTAGTCAAAATGTTAATATTTAAGTGATGGATAGGAAAGTAATGATAAAATGTAAAGCTGATAAGGAGATGAATTATTTAAAGTAAGAGAGTAGGAATTAGGATAGATAAAAATGATTGCAAAGTATGATGTGGTATAAATAAAGATAATAATGATAGGGAGACGAATAACAGTTAAAGTGAAGAGTAAGGGGTTACATGTAAAGTCGGATGAGAAGGGAGTTAAGATATCGATTAGATAGAGGGGAGAAATTTTTGATTAAATTTGATATTTAAAAAAATTTATAAATTTGTTTTATAAATGTTTATAAGGGCCATTAAACTGCCAAAACTCTCCTCTAGGATATAAAATTTAATTAACTAACTTGACTCCTCTTATATTTAAAATTTAATTTAATAAAATATTTTATAAAAATCAAAATTATTTTAATATAAAAATGTTAATGCATGTAAAGTCAAAAAGTTTAGACTTTTATTTAAAAAAATTGTCATTTTTAATGACAGAAGTCACTTCTAAATTAGGCCCACTAAGCGAATAATTGTGCTAGTCATATTCGAATAGAATCATTCGATTCTAGTGCTGTGAATTAACATCAAAAAAGTAACATACGAATAGAATCAGCATTCGATTCTAGTGCTGTGAAGTAACATAAAAAAAGTAACGTCGTTACTAACGCCATTACTTTTTTTGAAGAAATGGAACGCCATTCGTTACCTTCTTCTAGAGGTAACGAGCGGTAACGCGTTTCTTTTTTTTGAGTAACGGTAACGCAAAACCTTACTCGTTACTTTATATTTTTTCTTAAAAATTATCAACAAAAAGAAAAAAAAATTTTATTGTATTATAAAATTACTTTTATTTATTTTTTTAATTCTTAATATAAATAATTTAAGCCCAGTTTTAAATTTTAATTCATATCAACCACTTCCTTCATTTTTATTTTAAATTCTCGTTAAATTTTCTGTCGAAATTAATATTCAATCAAAATTCAGAGTAAATGTAAATAATGATATTATTATTCTTATAATTTATTTTAAGAATATTATGTCCATAGTACTTACTTCTTCGGATGAAGATGATTTAACCCTTCCCTGGCCCCCATTTGAAAAATATTTTAAACCAATAAAGAAAATTAAAGCTACCAATCTGCACTTTGTAAATGTAAATCCCAACACAAATATTTCAATCTCAATGTCCAGCAGTTCAAACTTAAAAAAGCATTTCAAGGTAAAGAGATGAATTTTACTTTAAATAGAATAAATAGTATTCTTTCATAATATTGAAAAGCTTAATCATGGAATTGGATAATTCCATACCAAATCGATAACTTTTCGGCCCGACCTTTTTAATTTCGATAAAATTTTGTATGCTGAGAGAATATCAGTTGAAAGCATTGAATCCAAAATTTTAGCCTCCTAGTGCTCATAGTTCTTGAGATATCAATGGTCAAAAATGCCAAAAATGATCTTTTTTCGAAAAATACGATTTTTTGTAATTGAGATAAGTTAAAAAATAATGATTTTTAAAATATAAGTTATATGTCATTTTGTAACTCTATTAAAGGTCTTCTATTAAATATTAAGGATTTTTTTGAAATAATATTGTTGCGGTTTTTATTTACGTTATAAATTTTAAACATAAAAATTCCAGGTGTTTCGCTTTCCAAATTTTTTTGAATTAAATATTTTCTTATTCTCTAACCTTATATCTATTCATAAAAAAAATTTAAACTTGGGACAGCCATGGGTTTTTTAGTTATTACGATTTAAAAAATCAAAAAATAAATATTTTTTTCACTCTTTTATAAAATAGCGTGTTTTGTTATAATTATTATTTTTTTAAACTTTTTTTCATTTTTAAACTTTTTTTCATTTTTAAACATAAATAATAGTGAAGGTCAACGGTCCGGTCCTATCGGTCTTAGACCGGGATCGGACTGGACCGATCTTTTTCTTGAGGACCGTGGTCCGGACCGGTCTTTTTATTTTTTACGGTCCGGAGTCTTTTATTGTTTAAGTTTGCTTTACTATACAATTAATATAATTTTTTTGTATATTTTATTTTATGATATTTTTCTAGAGGAGTCATTTTAGATTTTGTTAATTTTTATTTTACAATATGAAAACCATAAGTTTGTCCAAGAAACATTTTACTTATAGTTCCAATAAAAACAGAGTATGTGTTCACTGCAGTACCAAATTTAATATATCGTCAGCACCTAGTAACAAAATAATTGTTTTTAATTTTTTAAGCAATAAATTAATCAAAATAAGCAATAATATTATTAAAATTTTTTAGTTATTATATAGTTCTATTTTTTTTAAAGAAACTGTCTGTATAATTTATTGTAAAAATACTTAACCTTATTCTTAATATAATTAGGTACCTTAAGCAGACATCTGATAAAACATAAAATGTATACTTCTAATGATGAAAATGAAAATATCTCAAAAAACACAATCTACTCTTAATTTTAATATGCCCTCTACAAGCACAAAATCATTTTTTTCAATACCATTGGATAAATTTTATTGTTTATATAATACTCTTATATTTAATAAAATGATAAAACAAATCAAATTAGGTTAAAAAAATATGTTTTTTAAACAAACAAAAAGACCGGTCGGACCGGTCTTTTTATTTAGGACCACGGTCTGGATCGATCTTTTTTTAAGGACCGTGGTCCGGTCCGAGGGTATCGGTCCAGTCCGGACCAAAGACCGGACCGTGACCTTCACTAATAAATAATAAGATTTTCCAGCATTAATATCATGAAATGAGATTATTTAGCTGCGGTTATAATCATTTTTTTTTTATAAATTTTCGAAAAATTATTTTATAAATTTTGAAGATATAATAGATAAATTAAAATTCATAAAAGATATTACCTATTTCCCGTTTTTATTAAATTTGGTTTTTTTGACGCCATGATAATTCGTTTTGCGATAAATTATATGTACGCCCAGTAGCCGTTGATGGGCAAACTATTGTTAAAATATTATTTTTTGGTATGAAAGTGCAGCTGGATAAACAAAAGAATTTGCTGGTCCTTTAGGGTAAAGAAAATTAATTTTTATTTCATCTCTAATTACATTCACTTCTTGTACAAATCCTAACCACCAATCTTTTTCATATGCATATGTTACATATCCTCTAATCTCATCGATTAACAGATCCTTACGTGGATATACTATATTCTACACAATAAATGCCTGCGAATTAGAATATAGTTTGGTGTTGAGTTTAGTTAAGCCAATCGGAAACCAAGCATGAATTTTTTGTGACCCGGGTATTGAGATAGATTTACTAAATCTCTCACTTAGCCTTATCTCTTCTTCCTCATACTCTGGTATAGTGGCATAAGAAAAATTTATACCTTTTATATGCTCTTTCGCATATTTATAAAATTGTAAAGGTGTAATTATTTGATCAGTATAAGGTCTTTGTAAGCTTGCCTTGGCAACTAACCGTTTTACTGTGCCGCCTATGCCGTCTCAGGCACTTTTACCATGTGCCGTAGGAAAAAAAATGCCATTCTGCTTGAACACCAAAATCGATTTTATGGTAGCAAACATTGATGAAGTTTTTCCTATTTTTATATTGCGCTGCTGAACCATCAGAAAAGTAGTGAATTTTTTCTGGTGGAGTGTCGAATTTATTTTTAAAAAATGAATCAAATGCGATTGGAATAAATGGAATGAAACAGTATTATGAATTTAGGATTCCGATATTACCACAAAACTTAGATTGTTTATTTGATCTCCTATTTTATATTAAATTAAGAATGGATGCAACGTAACTTGCGAAGTTGTCCAATGATAACCCTGAACTTCGTCTTGGACAATAAAGATATAATTTTCTGAAAAGTCACAAATAATTAGATAGTGATTATTTTCTAAACTATTTTTAATGTGAAATGAACTTTATTGTTCACAAATAAATGAATGGCGTATGAGAATATTCATTTATCGAAAAATAATTAATAGTCTGAAAATTGAGAAATAGTTTCCAGAGTTGTTCTATATACCGAAACCCACTGTTTAAACGTAACAAGAGCTATATCATTTTTTATAAATAATTTTTTGATGCGTTCTTTTAAGAGTGCCGAGCCAGGACATTCGTTGCAGTCACCAAAATAACAGGTTGGTAACGGGTGATTGCAAATCATTCTGCCTATAACATCTCTATAAGTTGTTAATGTATCCACACCATTTTTAGTCAATGTTGCTAGTTCACAGTCTAAAATCATAAGTTTAATATTCTGGTGTATGCTACAAACGCATACACTATGTGTTCCGCTAGCCCTTGCTAATATACAATTTTTTGGTCTTAAGCTAGCAAATTTCGAAAATCCAATTTTTAAGTTTGGATTACTCGCCTTAAAATGATTATATAATTCTTTCAAATTATTAAGAACTAACCTTTTTGAGCGTTCACTCGTTCCCCCTTTTCTATGATAGATATGCAATCTTTTTTTCCTGGTAATACCCTACTAACTTCATCACTTCAAAATTTTTTTTTTTGACAATATCAACTGTTTTTTGATTGAGATATTTTGCAGGCTTTCGATTTGGAGTTGAAAGAATCCCCTTTTCTTCTAAAATGATTTTGGAATTATATGTCATATGATATGTAGCGTAAAATTCCGTTTTTATTTTATTTGCACTTCAATTAGGAGGCAGAATGGTCAGCAATTGATATTTTTTATTTTTAGATAAATTAGGATATTGTAATTTCATGTTATTGAGTATATTATTATTATCTTTTGTATCCGATTCTGGATTGTTAATTATTATATCCGAAATAGCTTTTGATATTTTTGCTACCTTTTTTTTAGATAATTTTTTTCGGTTAGTTTTTTTTTCTTAATAGGAGATCTAATATCATTTAAAGTTATATTGATTTTATCTATTGATGTTGATGCTGTGCTGTTATTTACATATTCACTATCAGAATTTATATTTTCAATATTTTTTTGTGATAACCGTTTACGACATTTATCACAAATATAGTGTTCCGCCTCAATGTTTGGATGTTGCGCCATCCATGTCATGACATTACGCAGGTTCATTTTATAATTAAAGTGTTTAGATTCTTTAAAAGGATTTACGCATTTATATTTATACATTATAAATAATTTTAAGAAGAAAAATAATTAATATCAAAATATTTGTAAAATAAAAATTAATTAATATTAGGGCAGGTGCATGAAAACTTGCTTTTATCTTTCAACAATGAATTGTTATATTTTCTTGTAGGAGATATCGGAATCTTAACTATCTTTTAAGGAAATTTAATCATTTATTATAAAAACTAATTTTTACAAGTTATCAATATAGCCATAATAATAAGTGAAAAAAAGTTTAAAAATAATAAATATAACAAAACACTTTATTTTATAAAGGCGCGCCATCTATTTTTGAAAAAAATAATTATTTTTTGATTTTTTAAATCGTAATAACTAAAAAACCCATGGCTGTCCCAAGTTTAAATTTTTTTTTATGAGTAGAAATAAGGTTAGAGAATAAAAAATATTAAAATCTAAAAAATTTGGAAAGCGAAACACCTGGAATTTTTATGTTTAAAATTTATAACGTTAATAAAAACCGCAACAATATTATTTCAAAAAAATCCTTAATATTTAATAAAAGGCCTTTAATATAGTTACAAAATGACATATAGCTTATATTTTCAAAATCATTATTTTTAAACTTATCTCAATTTCAAAAAATCGTATTTTTCGAAAAAAGGTTGATATCTCTGGAACTATGAATACTAGGAAGCTATGGATTCCATGCTTTCAAGTGATATTCTCTCAGCATACAAAATTTTATCGAAATTAAAAAGGTCGGGCTGAAAAGTTTTCGATTTGGTATGGAATTACCCAATTAAAATATAAGTAGGGCTGTGCCGATATTAAATATCGGATAGAATCTGCTCCATACCTGTAAAAAACCGATCCGGTTTCTTTACTTTTTTTGTTATTTTTTATGTATATTTATTTTACATTATTATAATATTTTCTAAATAATTTTTTTTTAAAGGCAAATGCACAACACCCTCTAAATTTTTTTTTTAAAAATAGATTTATAGTATTTTAAAAGTTTTTTTTATTAAAATAGAAAGGAACACCTAAAGTTTTAATTATTTTAAATCTTTTTAAATAATAACGCCAATTTTATACAAAAAGATAATTTTCCAAAATGCGTTATCTGATGAATCATATGAGTTTACCTTCAGTACGGCAGGGGATACTCCATATCGTAGAAGCTTATTGCCAGAAAATCTAGAGGGTCTCTAATTTATTAAAAAAATTGAATATATTATAATTTTATATAAACATAAAATGGGTATATTACCAAATATATGTTTTTTAAATTATAGTCTTAATTGTAGAAATAAAAAAAATTACATTGCATAATTTGATTTTTTGTATAAAAAATATTGATTTCTTAATTACATTTGGTTCAAAAGGGGGGGGGTAGTGAAAAATCAATATAAATATCAGATCAGTATCGGATTGGGTTTGAAGCAATATCAAATCGGTGAAAAATATGTGGATCGGCTCAGTCCTAAATATAAGCAATTAAATTATACTACAATATTGGGCTAACCAACATTTAAATCCTAAGATTAACAAAATATTGGTTTTGGTTCAAAGTATTATATTGAGTTTTTTATATCTTCTATTTCTTGTTTTAGTATTGCTATTGGTTTGCCTAATTGTTAATAAATTTAAGAATAAAAAATAGTGATTTTAAAAAACTTTGTTTAAATAATATATATATATATATATGAAATAGTGGCGTAGCGAGGATTTATCCAATAACAAAATTTTACAGAGAATTTCATTATAGATGGTATTTATTATTCAAATACTATATATAACATCCCATTATTTAACCAGCTATGTTAAGCACTAAGCGCTCTTGTTTGTCTGATCTAAATTTTAAAATCAATTATTGCTAAAAATAAATAAAAAATTGTTACATAAAGATGTTATCTTATAATATATTATTTTTGTATTATTTTATTTATATTATAATTAAATATATGAATATTTTTTTAATAAAACGATCTTATATATTCTTTTTGTATAGTTTTATTTTATTATATATTGTCTGAATAAAATAAATATTATTTTTGTATATATTTAATTTTTTTAAGTAACGAGTAGCCCGTTACTATTTTGAAAAGTCGGTAACGTGCGTTCCTTTTTTGAAAAGGTAACGAGTAACGGTAAGCGTGCCTTTTTTCAGATGTAACGAGTAACGGTAACGCGTTTCTTTTTGTAGTAACGTTTACAGCACTATATTCTATTTAAAATATCTAATATTTTTACAATAATTGTGCAAAATTTAGATCTCAAATTTTAATATTTTCTGAGATATAATTATTTAAAATTGTGCAATTAAATGAATTTTTTCCACCTATACATTTAAATTTCAAAATAATATATATATAAAATTTAATAAATTATGGATAATCATTCAATAATTTTTACCTTTTTCTTTTAAATGAAATTATAAAAAAACATGCAGAGGAAATAAAGTAAAAAATAAAATATTCACCCACTAGGAAAGGAATTTTGAATACTTTTTAATTTTACTTACGAATACGAACGAAAAAATTTAACGAAAAATTTTAACTTTAAACGAATATTTGCAAATAATATTGAACAATTCGATCGAATAATAGAAAGTTTATGATTCGATGAATATCTTTTCATGATTCAATCGTGCTATTATATTCATAAAATACGAATCGAATAACGAATAATTTGGGTTAGGCTTACTCGAAATAATTATCTCGTGGATATATTTATTGGAACCAGGTTTAAGATCCAGGGTCAGTCTTATACACGATTTAATATTCCCGACATCTATTATATATATATATTATATCATATTATATTTACATATAATATATTATATTTAAAAGGAATAATCTTGAATGGTTGGCAAAGGCTACAAATTGGGCTAAATTCACAGCTACAGCTAGTTTAGGAGTTATTCATAAGGTTTAATTAATTTCATTTATTAAAATCAGGGATACATTATCAATACTCAATCTTTAAAAATTTCGCAAATTATTCATCCCCTTAGCTTATTTGACAAAAAAAATATAACTTACCACTAGGTCCAATGTACCTTTTATGTAAAATAATAGATTTTTTATTAAATATTATGAACATAATACTAATTTTAAATGAAAAAAATTAAAAAATTATAGGCAGAATATAAATTTCCATTAAAATTATTTTGTTTCTATTTTTATAGTAGGGCATATAGTACACACGGACTTTTTTTATTTATATTTTTTAGATTCTAAAGGCATATCTATCACCTATTAATATCCAAATCACATTTATTTCACTGGTAGAATTTTATTATTTTCTTTATTTGACCATCTGCATATATTCTAGTGCATTTGAAGAAGCAACAGAAATGAGGACGCTCGAAAATTACATTCATGAGCAGCGCCTCAAGCTGGACTTGAATTTTTACTATTAATATTTTAATACTCATTCCACTGTTGAAAACTTTGAATACCATTTTTCATTTTTAGATACAGAGAATTAGATTTGATCTGTATATTTGATAATTTTTTCAGGTACAGGAGAATCTTCAGAATTTTCGTCGTAGGATTGAGATATGAAGATAATTGTATATTGAATCGAGGTAACATTCAGACGCTATCTCCTTGGATAATTTTATTGATATTCATGAGATCTAACCAAAAAATTTTCATAGAAAAATGCCTAATTTTTATAGATAAATTAATTTAGGCAAGGAAAATAATTTCGGCATATAACCTATATTTAGAGCCGTGCAAAGTGATTTTATCGCGGCCCTAGTCCGACCTGAGCTCATATTAAAAAAGATTTATGTCCGAACTTGACTCAATGAAACAAATTTTTTGCTCCAGCCCGCATGAGCCCGTTTAAAAATAATTTAAACTCATTTGAAATATTATAATATCAAAGTAAAAATTAAAAAAAAATTTGTATTTATTCACATATTGCTACCTTGAATAAAAGTATATATAACCCCCAATTTTTTAAAATAAAAAAAATGGAGGCTATTTAATTGAATAGATCTTAGATAAAACAAAAATTATCAAATGAAAATATTTACAGATTAATATACTAAATTTTATATTGGCTAATGTAAGAATATAATATTTTTATTTAACCTGATAGAATATGATTGTAAGTAAATTAACAAGGCACAATACAGAAATTTTTATTTGGGAAATGAAATTACGTGAATGAATAGGTGAAATGTGTCAGATGAAAAATGACATTTCGATGAATCAAGATGATATTTATAATATTTAATTTTCGGGCCTTGGGTCGGGCTTCGGACAGCCCGTGTAGGGCTCTACCTATATTGTAATATAATTTAAAAAACAATTTTTTGAATAGAAAAGATTTCTAAGGTTTTTTTTTTATTATATCTTTCAATAACACAATGTTAAAGTAAAATATTTTACAATAAAATAATAAAAAATTTTATTCCTAACAACAAAAATGATTAATATAATTAATGTTAAATAATAAAAATTTAAGCATGGTCTAATGGACTCTTTTGGTAGTGGTCGTCATAATTTTTGACCAGGTTCCATAGAATTTTTAGACAAACCCAGCTTGAAATTTTTTATAATTTGTTATATAATAAAGGGAAAATCTGTAACATATAAACCTTTTTTGATTTTATATTCATATCAACAGTTAAAAATAATTGAATGATTTTTATATATTATTTTTACAAGAAGCCAATTTTAGTGCGATAAGATAATAAGGAAGTAATCAAATAAATCATAATTTAAAAAATTACCGTTATTACCCATTGATAACACTAAAAAAACATTGGACTACCGGTTAAAATCAATAGAGTCTTAGGGGGAGGACAAAAATGAGCTCAGCACTTCTAAATTTAATTAGATTACCTAAATTTGTTTTATTTGAAACAAATATTTTCTTGAAAATGTGGCTTTTAATTACTCCTGCTAAATAATAATAGTGAGTGGCATTCCTTAAAAAATTATTTGTCAAATACCTTTAAAAAAATATTAATTAAGCAACTATTTTTTGTGAATGAATCCAAAGGTTAATTTTTGAGTTTTTATATAATTTTTGTCTATTTTTCATATTTTAAACAAATTTTTACACGTAATCAGGAAAAAATCAATGTATACGATTAAGAAATTTATTGACGGAAATTGAATATTTTTATAATCGATTGTATATTTAACTCGTTAAATACCAAAATATAAACAAAATTTTACCTTTTAAATTAATTTTTTCTCCTCAAACTTAGAACAATATATAGTATAACTTTAGCTTGATTTTTAATAATAATCTTTTCTAATAATTCTTAGATTAAATAAGAAAATAAACCTAACAACTCATACATCGACATTTTTTATTATAAATGTTTAATTATAGGGTCACATAAATGAAGCAATGAATTTGATGTCTACATATCTGCCTAAAGAAAACAATTCAGGGAGTCCATATTCTGAAGGAGGGAGTTTATATGCCTTGGGTAAATATTATGATCAAATTTAATAATACACATTTCTAAAAATATATTTATAACACAAATTAAAAGGATGAGTTTACTATATTATTTATTTAATTGTTTTTTAGGTTTGATCAATGTAAATCACGGAGCAGGAATAATAGATTACCTTATTCAACAATTAACAAATTCGAATTCGGAAGTATTACATTCAATATTAAGCATAGATTTGCGGTTGTGACAAAATGCCTAATTAATCATAAATTTTTTAAAACAAATCTCATAAATTATATTGTTTTTTAAAAAAAATATACATCCTTAGCCAATTTAAAATTCAGTTAACGTCTTCCTCCACCACTTTTGGTATTAGTATTATTAAAAACCTTGTTTGGCTGAATCAATCAGGTGTTTATCTTTATTTATTGAGAGGGATATTTTCCCAATCGTTGTAAAATATGTAGTTGTATTTCTTAAATCCTCCTTTCATCTTATCTTTATGCATGGCCAATCAAATCTGCAGCTATGAAGATATTCTCATTCTCTTTTAGCAAATTTTTTGTGAGCTCACATAAATAAAAAAAAATTTTTTTTGCACACAGATGATAAGAGCTACCAATGACAGATTAGATTTCATAACATATGTAATCTTATAGCAAATATAAATATGTTATAAACCATTCTTATAATTTATAGATCTTGATTTGTTTATGAATCAAGAAATGACCTTTTAAATAGTGAAAATCACCCTGATATCAGTTCAGACTATTCCACAGTCCCAAAAAAATGATTAACTGCATTCAGATAAAGTTTATCAACCAAATAGAATCTATTTGTTTTATCAGTCATTTTGGATTATAAATGAATATTAAAAATTTTTTATTTCAAAATATATATCTGGATTTTTATTTTAAAATTTTTGAATTTCCCTCATAGCATTTGATTCATTTGTTTAGCATTATATATATTTTTTTAAAATAGATAATTAAACACGGAGCTTGTCTGGGTCTTGGTTTGGCAGCTATATCTTCAAATAGACTAAATGTTTATGAAACGTTAAAATCAAACCTATATCAAGATGATGCTATAATTGGTTTAATATAAATTATGATTTATTAATTTAATTATTTTTTATAATGATTCTAACTATAATGTATTTAGGTTTAAAACTTGTTTAAAAAAATACATCTATCAACAGTTTACATGAAATTTATATATTAATGATATTAACCTAATATGAACTTGTTAGGTGAAGCCGCCGGTTTAGCTATGGGTTTAGTTATGTTGGGATCAAATTCCTCCAGCGTTATTGATGACATGATATCGGTACTATTTATATTATACAAGTATATACGTATACCATAGAGGTCATTTATAGTAAGGGATAATACAATAATTTTGATTTTTTTATACCATTAAGTTTGAATGCTATTTTACAGGCTTGAAATGATACTTTACGAGAAAATGCTATAAGAAAAGTCTTAAAAAGTATTTTTGAATGCTTTTTTGCGATTTTTAATAAGCATTGATTTTTTTAAAAAAACCTCATCATAAAATTGTTCGCAGGTTTAAATTTCTATAAATAATTAGCTCACTTTTTCAATGGAACATTTATTTTAGTCTCCATTTTTCATTCATTTAAAAAAAATATGAATGCATTACTTGCCAGAAATACTCGGAATGTATGATATGTGCTTTTTCAGAAAAAATGGAGGACATTCATTTAAATTCAAAATTTCATCTAAATGCGGTCTTAGAAAAAATAGTAGGTAGCAACCTTATATGGTATATATAGTAATACGAGTAGGGGGAAGTCGATCTTACACGGAATACTCATAATTCGATTAGAATATAATAAATAGGCAAGCATAACTTTTGCATAAATCAAGAAAAGTTATCCAAATAAATTCTAATAATTATGTTCATATAAATGGTATGTGATTGAAATTTGTTCAAAGAGGCATTTTAAAACAATTATATAAAATTTGTCTATATTTTTTTTAAATAATATTTTATTTGTTAATTTAACAATTCAAAAATAGATTACACATTGTACATACATTTAATTATCTTTAGTATGCAAAAGAAACACGTCACGAGAAAATTACTCGTGGGCTAATATTAGGGATCGGTTTGGTGATGTTTGGTACTATGGAGCAAAGCGAGTCTCTCATAAAATCACTAACTCATGACAAGGATGCTATACTAAGACGTAGCGCTGTTTATATCATTGCAATGGCCTATTGTGGAACCGGAAACAACGCTGCTATACAAAAATTGTTACATATAGCAGTAATTACAACAATAAAATTATTAATTATATTATTCTTGGAAGAAAAAACCCCGGAAGATTAACTTCGTAAAAACGAAAAAATTATAAAATAACTTAATGTTCATTATTTAAAAAAAGTGAGAATTGTGCAATTGCTTTTTATTATTGGAGTTTGTTTCAAAATTCGATTAAAATATTTTTAAGGCTACTTTATTACTTATAACTACCTAACCTTATTAACAGAAACCAAAACTTTATAGAAGAATCACGTATAAACCTAAAAAAAATCATATTCATAACATAAAAAATTTCGTTCTTAGGGTTTTGCGATATTTTAATATATGATAAAAAAAAATTCAATTTGTTTTTGCGATTAAATATTGAATATATGTGACCATTATTGTGTCTAAGATATTTTTTTATTTTCGGCAAACCAACATATATAAAGAAATATATAAAATCTTAGTTTTTAAATTACGGTATTAATTTAATATTTATATATATGTTTTTTCTTTATTTGGTTATTATTCATTGTAATTATTTATTTCTAACAATTTAAACCAAATTATCAAAAGATTCCCTATGAATAATAAATATTAAGCTTATAATCCATCCATATTAGTTATAATTTTCGAATACATTACATTTCTTATTTATGGTTAGGTCTCTGATGTAAATGATGATGTTAGACGATCTGCTGTAACGTGTATAGGATTCTTACTATTTCAGTTTTATTTAATTTATATATATTTTAAATTTGGATATAATCGATATTATTTCAATGTGCAATTGTCTAATTCGAGCCATTATAGATTTATTAACCTGTCTCAATTTTTTACAATTATATTTATACCAATAGATTTGCATACTCCCTCCCCCCTCCCTCCAATGAGTTGAGCAACTCATGCAAAATTTATTTGGTCCGCTTAGACAATTTTACACTGTAGAAAACCATTATAATATAATATTTATAATGACTAGGTCTTGTTGATTAATAATCAACATTGATAATACATTAGATTAATTGTATGAGGCATGAAATTTAATATAGTTTTATGTGGTTGAGCATGTATTTAGTTTATGCCAATTTATTTATTTATTATTAGTTGTCAATTTAAATTTGTAAAATATAACAAAATATAAATAGAACTCCTGAACAATGTCCGAACATAGTATCTTTATTATCTGAGAGTTACAATCCACATGTGCGATACGGAGCTGCTTTGGCTTTGGGAATCGCTTGTGCAGGGACTGGTTCAAAAGTATTTATATTGACATTAGAAATTTCAATATGGGATGATTACTAGAATAAAATATGTAGTAAGAACTGATCCAAAAATTTCCCTATTTCAATAAGCCAATTTCATTTCACTATTTTGTAAAAATATATTTTTTTCATTAATAGTACAATTTGTCATAAATGATTTCACCGTTTAGGAACTGATTTCATTAAGAATTTGTATTATATATGATAGGTTGCTTTTTTTAGTAATGAGTTAGCTTTTTGTCTTAGTAAATAGATCATGAAAGGAAAATGTATATATTATATTAAAATATTAGCACTTAATTAATTTTTATAATTTTAGGAAGCTTTAAATATGATTGAACCTTTGATAGATGACAATACTAACTATGTTAGACAAGGGGCGTTGATTGCCTCTGCTATGATTTTAATTCAACAAAATGAAATTACTCAACCTAAGGTTAATTTACATTTATGCAAATTAAAATTTTAATATTAAAGTAAAAAATATTTAGATTGTTTTAATCGTTTTAGGTAAAAAAAAGAATAATAATTTTTTGGTCATTTATTATACTCTTCTATATCCAGTTTTGGAAAAAGTATAAATTCAGGATTAAACTATACTAGGTGTTTTTTATAGTTAAAATAGGAAAAACTATCACGTGATCATATTCTTGCTTATCGGATTTCTAAAATATTTAGGTTTATAATATTTTATATCAAAACATAAAATATTATCAAGACCAGTATTTTTGATATATAAAAAAATAATAAAAATATTAAATATTGGCTTATAAGCAAAGATAAAAAAATTAAAATTTAACAGTTTTATATCATTTATCTTGAAAGTAGGTGAATATAATTATAAACACTTGTTAAAATTAAGATCACTTATTGGCTAATATTAATAAAAAATGCTTATTTTATGTGATTTTAAAATACAAAATTACTATTTTTCAATTCAAAATTCGATAGAATACAAAATACAATAACGATTTTTTTTGAATTTAAAATGAAACTTTGTCCTATCTCCTAAAATATCTAGAGAAAATCTGAAAAACTATTTGAATACTTAATCTTTTCAGTGAGATCCTTAATATATAAAAAATTTGAAATTATAGAAGATGAAATAATATAATCCTTTACCAACAAATTGTAAAATTAAGTCAAATATTTTTATAACCTTTATTTATTAGTATTAAAATAACTATTAAGTGAAGATCTCATATTTATAAATCATAGGATTCTTTTATTAAAAGTCTTGTTAGAATTGATATATAAATCTCGAAATATTCTTTACATCTTGCATGAAAATTTCGATAATGTTTTTTAAAATTATTTTATAAACATAATTAATTAGTCTACCATATTCAGAGAAAAATACTCTAAAATCATTGGAGATAAACATGAGGAAATTATGGCTAAATTTGGAGCTATTTTGGCACAGGGAATTATTGATGCAGGTTATATTTTACTTAAATTGTTTACATGGGCTATTAATGGAAAAGATGGTAGAATAGTGTTGTTAAATGGCACGATTTCGCCAATTTTAAAATATTAGCCAAAATAATATTACGCAAGCCTCGAAATTTTGTTAATAAGGTTTAAACCGTTTATGAGCAAAATTTCGAGGCTTGCATCTAAAATATTAGTATAGTAATTCTTATAATAAAATGTGGAATTTATGGTTTCATGGGCCGAATTCCAATATGATAATTTTTCATTCAAAAATAAAAATACTTTTATTCAATTTAAAATTAAATTCAAAATTTTCTTATAAAAAATATAATGATTTTATTCAATTTATAATTAAATCAAAAACTTTCGCATAAAAAATAGAATTATTTTATTCACTTTTACAATTTTTTTTTGTGTAGTAAATACTTTATTTAAAAAACAAGTAAGCATATATTAAAATAAATGAATTTAAAAATATAGAACTGGGAAAAAAAAATTTAAAAAAAGGGTACAAATCACCCGAAAGAAGAGTGAATGCTTAAAATTGGTCCGGCAGATTTTCAGGGAAATCTGCTCACAAAAGTAAAATCCTTCATTGGGGTTCCCTGAGATCTGCCTCATTTTTTTCCTATGGTTTTAATGATATTGAGAGCATCACTTCTGAACATGCCTAGGGTATTGGTAACGATTGGGATAAACACAGTGTTGGTGAGGCAAGCATATTTGTTTTTTTCAGGATTTCGGCCTTTCATGGCAGAAAATAGAGGTTGGACTTGGCGGCAAAATCAACACAGGTATATTCCCAAGCAAGTGGGAGACCATTGGTCCAGGGAATGAGAGATATGCCATTGGGGCGTATGCCATTTTCGTTTGAGAGGCCCACTGTTTCGAGGGTGGATGAAATATTAACTTTTTTAAGAGCAGCTAGGAGAATGTTGTTAATAGATTTATGACGGTGTTGTCGTCCATGGGAGAACTTGCAGTGCAAGGGATGGTAAGCTATTGATTCGATGGGATGGTCACAGTCGATGCAAATGGAAAGAACCACAGCATTACAGCCAAGGTGTAGGGCTATGGAAATACTTAGCTGTTCGCCAGTTAAGAGGAGGCCAAGATTGAAACGGAATGGTTTCCAGCCATTCGTAACCTGAGCTTGCATATAATATAAATTATTGGGATTGTCCTCAAAGGGCCTGTTCAAAATAAGGTATTCAATTGAACAGGCGATCAGAGGGGCATCCCAGTCTTGTTGAATGCTGGAAGCGGAACGACAAAGGGTGGGTGAGCAGTTCCTGTCCCAAAAGGTGAAGACCTGCGAGAGATTAGTATCTAAAGGAGTGGATCCATTATCGATGATAGATTGAGCAGCAAGACGAGATGAGATAAAGGCTGAGAGAGAAAGTTGTATTGGGGATTGGATACCTATACTACCAGAATTGCTGTGAAGGGTGGCCTGAAGCCAAGTTGAATTGGAAAATTTAAGGTTTAATATGTTTTCAAGAAGACCCTTAATTTGGGTTTCATGAGAAACGAGCAAGTCACGGCTAGTGTTGCGTAATCGGCTAAAAACTACGCCTAAGCCTAATTAGGCTAAGCCTAAAAATCGGCTAAAACTAAAAATCGGCTAAGCCTAATTAGGTTAAGCCTAAAAATCGGCTAAGCCTATATAAATCTGCTAAAATTAAATTAGTCAAAATTCTGCATCGATGCTTATTAGTATTAATTATTATTTTAGTAAAATAATTTATTTTATTTATATTTAATGTAAATATTTTATTATTATCAACAAATAAACATGATATGATTTAATATTTTTTATTTATATTATTATATTTTGAAATGAAAATAAATTTATTTATTTGATGTTATTTTAATAAAAAAAATAATATGCTGCTATATTGTTAAATTGTAATATTCTTTTTAATATAATTTATTAGTGATTTTCACAATCTTCTTTATAAATACATCTTTTATTGAGGAATTATTTTGTTTATTAGATAAATAAACAATCTTTTATCATTTTTTTAAAATTATTTATTTAGGTGGATTTTATGAAACTTTTTTGATGTTATTTTATATGATCTTTTTAAGGATAATATTTTAATGTGACAATTGTAATAATCGTTCTTTTATAAGTTTTTTGAATTTTTTTGAAGAAAATAGGTTAAAATAAGTATTAATAACATGTGTAAATATAAATTTAGTGAAGATGTACCAAATAAAAGTGACAATTGTCATAATCGCTATTTTTAAAGTTTTTTGAATTTTTTTGACGACAATATATTAAAATAAGTATTAATAACATGTTTAAATAAAAATTTAGTGAAGATGTACCATAGAAAATTGACAATTGTCATAATCGTTATTTTTAAAGTTTTTTGAATTTTTTTGAAGAAAATATGTTAAAATAAGTATTAAAAACATGTGTAAATAAAAATTTAGTGAAGATGTACCATAGAAAAGTGACAATTGTCATAATTGTTATTTTATACGTTTTTTGAATTTTTTTGAAGAAAATAGGTTAAAATAGGTATTAATAACATGTGTAAATATAAATTTAGTTAAGATGTACCAATGAAAAGTGACATTTGTCATAATCGTTATTTTATAAGTTTTTTGAATTTTTTTGAAGAAAATAGGTTAAAATAAGTATTAATAACATGTGTAAATATAAATTTAGTGAAGATGTACCAATGAAAAGTGACATTTGTCATAATCGTTATTTTTAAAGTTTTTTGAATTTTTTTGAAGAAAATATGTTAAAATAAGTAGTAAAAACATGTTTAAATAAAAATTTAGTGAAGATGTACTATAGAAAAGTGACAATTGTCATAATCCTTATTTTATACGTTTTTTGAATTTTTTTGAAGAAAATAGGTTAAAATATAGGTATTAATAACATGTGTAAATATAAATTTAGTGAAGATGTACCAAAGAAAAGTGACATTTGTCATAATCGTTATTTTATAAGTTTTTTGAATTTTTTTGAAGAAAATAGGTTAAAATAAGTATTAATAACATGTGTAAATATAAATTTAGTGAAGATGTACCAATGAAAAGTGACATTTGTCATAATCGTTATTTTTAAAGTTTTTTGAATTTTTTTGAAGAAAATATGTTAAAATAAGTAGTAAAAACATGTTTAAATAAAAATTTAGTGAAGATGTACTATAGAAAAGTGACAATTGTCATAATCCTTATTTTATACGTTTTTTGAAGAAAATAGGTTAAAATAGGTATTAATAACATGTGTAAATATAAATTTAGTGAAGATGTACCAAAGAAAAGTGACAATTGTCATAATCGCTATTTTTAAAGTTTTTTGAATTTTTTTGACGACAATATATTAAAATAAGTATTAATAACATGTTTAAATAAAAATTTAGTGAAGATGTACCATAGAAAATTGACAATTGTCATAATCGTTATTTTTAAAGTTTTTTGAATATTTTTGAAGAAAATATGTTAAAATAAGTATTAAAAACATGTTTAAATAAAAATTTAGTGAAGATGTACCATAGAAAAGTGACAATTGTCATAATCGTTATTTTATATGTTTTTGAAGAAAATAGGTTAAAATAAGTATTAATAACATGTGTAAATATAAATTTAGTGAAGATGTACCAATGAAAAGTGACATTTGTCATAATCGTTATTTTATAAGTTTTTTGAATTTTTTTGAAGAAAATAGGTTAAAATAAGTATTAATAACATGTGTAAATATAAATTTAGTGAAGATGTACCAATGAAAAGTGACATTTGTCATAATCGTTATTTTATAAGTTTTTTGAATTTTTTTGAAGAAAATAGGTTAAAATAAGTATTAATAACATGTGTAAATATAAATTTAGTGAAGATGTACCAATGAAAAGTGACATTTGTCATAATCGTTATTTTTAAAGTTTTTTGAATTTTTTTGAAGAAAAATGTTAAAATAAGTAGTAAAAACATGTTTAAATAAAAATTTAGTGAAGATGTACCATAGAAAAGTGACAATTGTCATAATCGTTATTTTATACGTTTTTTGAATTTTTTTGAAGAAAATAGGTTAAAATAGGTATTAATAACATGTGTAAATATAAATTTAGTGAAGATGTACCAATGAAAAGTGACATTTGTCATAATCGTTATTTTATAAGTTTTTTGAATTTTTTTGAAGAAAATAGGTTAAAATAAGTATTAATAACATGTGTAAATATAAATTTAGTGAAGATGTACCAATGAAAAGTGACATTTGTCATAATCGTTATTTTTAAAGTTTTTTGAATTTTTTTGAAGAAAATATGTTAAAATAAGTAGTAAAAACATGTTTAAATAAAAATTTAGTGAAGATGTACCATAGAAAAGTGACAATTGTCATAATCGTTATTTTATAATTTTTTTGAATTTTTTTGAAGAAAATATGTTAAAATAAGTATTGATAACATGTTTAAATAAAATTTAGTGAAGATGTACCATAGAAAATTGACATTGTCATAATGGTTATTTTTAAAGTTTTTTGAATTTTTTGACGAAAATATGTTAAAATAAGTATTAATAACATGTGTAAATATAAATTTAGTGAAGACAATGAAAAGTGACAATTGTCATAATCGTTATTTTTAAAGTTTTTTGAATTTTTTGAAGAAAATAGGTTAAAATAAGTATTAATAACATGTGTAAATATAAATTTAGTGAAGATGTACCAATGAAAAGTGACATTTGTCATAATCGTTATTTTTAAAGTTTTTTGAATTTTTTTGAAGAAAATATGTTAAAATAAGTATTAAAAACATGTTTAAATAAAAATTTAGTGAAGATGTACCATAGAAAAGTGACAATTGTCATAATCGTTATTTTATACGTTTTTTGAATTTTTTTGAAGAAAATAAGTTAAAATAGGTATTAATAACATGTGTAAATATAAATTTAGTGAAGATGTACCAATGAAAAGTGACATTTGTCATAATCGTTATTTTATAAGTTTTTTGAATTTTTTTGAAGAAAATAGGTTAAACTAAGTATT